ATATTTTTTTTGGGCACACCACTTGTATATAAAGCAAATGTCTTCGATGCACTAGTATCAGCACTCTTCATCGATGCCCCAAAAAGGACAGTAAGTATAGATATAGGGTTCAACATTATCTATAATATCATCAGTCGATGATCCAATATGTTGTAGAGAACCCAAAGATTAGTTGAACTAGAGAGAAGGTTTATTCTTATAGGATCTTTTGGACTTCTTCACTCATTTCCTTGTTTAGTCATAATTATTTTCTATGTTTAGTATTTACTTGACAACAGTGCTGATTTATGGCCTTTTGTTGTAGAGGAAAATTTTGCTAAGGTATCAGAAGAAAAGAAAAGGAAGAAGAAGAAACTGGCACTGCAAAACAGAAGAAGCAAGGATGAAATAGGTGAATGCCATCTATCATATAATAAAGGTAGTGGTTTGGGAAATTTAATTAATAATTTATTTCGGAGCATAAATTGCAGGGATTGGCATGTATGATTATTGGTTGATTATTGAGGTTTTTAGAAGATGATTTAGATAATGCAGATGGGGAAAAGAAAAAGAGCAAATCATCAAAGCAGAAGAAGAGGAAAAATGACACACTTGCTGAAAGTGGTGTAGTTGATCAATATGATGACGTAGAGGATGGACTTGGTCAAGAAAATACCATATCAAGTGAACCTGGTAAGCCGGAGAAAAGAAAATTGAAGGGAAAGAGGAGAAAAAGCGAAAAGAAAGCTGGGAAAACTGAGGGTAATGATTTCTCAAAACGACAAAAAGGTATGGAGAAAATAGATTCTCGAGTTGCCATATTTTTGTTTCTTTATTTATCAATCATGTACTCAAATTTAAAACAACTGAGGAGCTAAACGATGTTGAGTAATTAGTGTAAGTCAATAAATTTTCTCTCAAGCAGGCAGTGTGTATCACTTCCTGGCAAGCCTTAGTGTCTAAATATGTTAGCATCTAAACAGTCGAAAAGTTTCATATGTTGAACATATTGGAGTGAAGTCCTTTACCTGATAAAAGAAAAAACAAAGAACGAAAGTGAAGTCTGATTGCTCTTCCAAAATACATTTTTTTCCACGAAACTATAATAGTTTTGTATTTTTCCTAGGAGTTTATTAAAATATTTAAAAGCTTATTTGAGTATTGCATTACAAACACTCAGCACATTTAAATCATATAGTTTGATGGAGAGAGCACTCCAAATGTTGGAAGATAGTGGAATATAACTTTTATCAATTGAAATGAATTACATTTGCTTCAGTTATATGCAACCTACTTATTGTACAAGTATGTGAGGTTCTAAATTCATAAGTATACCCAACAGCCATCACACACTTTATTTTATTGGCAATCTTTTGATGTTATTTGTCAAACAAAAATTGTGAAGTTGACGATTTATAACTTCTGCAATACTGTCTATCCCCTCTAGGCAAGTCAAAAGAGACCCACAGAATTGTAGAGAAGGATCGTCCATCTTCAATAGCTGAGGATGATTTGCCAGGGAAGACAGAACAATCTGAAGATGAAGAGATTTATGAGCTATCTTCAGGGGATGAGGATTACTCTAAAGGAATGAGAAGTATGATTTTCTCTTTATATCATATAAAAGTAATTCCTGTTGCTTCTGTTGTGTTTTTTGTGATTTGACATGAGATTTGCCTCATCAAATATGTTGTGTAGAAACTCATTCAAATCTTTCATGGCAAATTAAAAGTTCTTGCTGTTGTATATTTCTTTTTCTTTATTGAAAAATTATTGACACATGCCTTATCAGGAGTTATTTTTCTCGGCATCTTGTTAAGATGAAAGAATGATTCTTTTGAGATGAACTGCAGCTAGAAATGACATTATATTAGAAAAAAGTATAAATTAGATTGATTGCCTTATAAAGAGTCAATTTCCTTTTTCTGGGTGCAGAGTGGGTTACAGATTATTATCAGAGTAGGCAAGGGATAAAGGTGTTGCAAGAAAGGATTGATGAGTTTATAACTGATCATGAGGCGAAAAAAGAACAGGTACTCTATATTTCCAGATTATCATGTCATTTATTGCTGTTAATGATTTTTTCGAAGTATAGGGAGAATGCTCGTTTTCTCAGAGCTGTCGTACCCATAGTGAAAAAAGTTTTTATGGTATTTATAGCTTTATTCATGTAAAAGAAAATGCTGGACTTAGTCTTTAGAGAGTTTTGCACTTATCTTTTGGCCCTTTCTTGCATCAGCCTGTACTTGATGAATTTGTTTCTTGTGACCACCTCATATGGCTTATCGTAGAAGTTTCTTCATGTGCCCACAACTATTAATGTTCTTATATTCTAGTGATTGTATATGCTGATTTGCCCAAGACTAGTTATGTTCTTGTTCCCATTGTGATATTTTTTATTCTGATACATACAGGAAAGGAAAGAAAAAGAAGCCCGTGCTGCTGAAGGTGGATGGACCGTTGTTGTACACCACAAAGGCAGGAAGAAGACAACGGATTCTGAAACTGGAATTGCAGTTGGTTCTGTTTCTCAGACTGCTGTTATGGATAATATGGCCAAAAAGAAAAAGAATGATGTGGGATTAGATTTCTACCGGTTTCAGAAGAGAGAAGCAAAAAGAAATGGTATGTTTTCTGCATCTTTGCTTTTGTCAACAACTTCTTGCTCCATATTGTTCAAAATCGACTCTGTTTTCCTCGATTATTCTATAGAAAAATATTTTATAAAAGGTAAAAGTTTAAATCAAAAATTTTGATTTTATCCAAACAATCACATTTAAGTTTGAGGTGAAAAAGTACTTACATTTTCTGATGAAAAGGTTATGGTTTCTAAGCTTGAATTGAAGATGCATATTGCTGGGGCTCTACTGCCTGTCCATTGCTTCATTACATTCTCAAAAGAAAAGAAAAAACTATTAGGATGATTGAAAAGCAGCATTGTTTTGATAAATTGATGCAGAATTGGTTTCTAGCAGTTTCTGTCTTTCGTGACAGATGGTGGAAGAGCCTGAAATAATCCACAGCATTGAATTTTACCTCTTGAAATTTTCATCTCAAAACCCACCTCAAATAGTATCACAATTTTGCTTGTTCAAGATTTAAACCCTCTTTATCATGGAACTACTAGTTGTTTTCCCTTTATCATGGAATTATGGATCATCTTTCATTCACATAAAAATTGGAATGGTTAAGTTGCCTATGTTTTCTGGTCTCACTGCCTATCGATTCTTTCTGTTGGTCTATTTGCAGTTTGTCATTTTTTCCGTCAAGGGCTCTGTAGGGATTCCCTGTTCAACTTTGATTATATATCGAACCCAAAGTCATAAAAAATAAATCTGATCTGATACATCATCCTAGTAATAATGATTGTTTCTTGGTCCATCCATTCATCTAAAGGACCTGCTATAATTTGAAACTTGCTATGTTACTCTAATGTGCTTCTCATTTGTTTAGTTGCCAATTTCCCCTGGTGCAAGAGATTAAAATCTCAATATGATCCTTTTCTGTTTCTTTTGTTTGTGACTTATCATTATTCGCATTTGTATTATGCACAGAGATCATGGTGCTGCAGAGCAAATTTGAGCAGGATAAGAAGCGGATACAGCAGTTGAGGGCTGCAAGAAAATTTCGACCTTACTGAACAAAGAGAAAATCTCCAGAACAGCATTGTTATAAGCTAATGCAAAATACTTATGGAGAATGGGTTTCAAAATTGTTCAGTTCATTCTGTTTCTTTAGAGAGAACAAGCTTAACTAAAAGCACAAGATAGTTGATAAAGTTTTGTGACATGAGTATGGATGAGCTATTGTTCTTGTATGTAATTTCCAGTTTTGGTTGTAGTTGGTAGATGCGCAACTGTTTTTGCTGAAGCACTTCATGTTTCTAGTGGTAGGCATTTCACTAAAAGCTCAGCCTAGAGTTGATCAACTGATTTTCTTTTAATATATTCCTAAGATTGGAGAAATAGAAAACAATTGTAACTTTTCTACCATAGCATTCTCTCTTTTATATATTTTTATTATTACAGACTTCCTATTGAGCCCGTGACTTTTGCTAAGTTTTGTCAACAACTAGGAGGTTCTAGCTGCCAACAATTTGGTGGCAGAAGATTTCTTTACCATTAAAATTTTTCTAAGTTGGCCATCTCACTTTCCTTTTTCAGGCATTTCTCTGTTTAAACTTGGAAAATTCGTTATATGGACTGGCTTTCTCGACAGGGAAAATTTGAATACTGGTGTGAAAATTAATCCTTCTTTTCCTTTGGACCTTATGTATTTGAAATTTTCTATTTTGGAAAAGTGAAATTCTTTTGATGAATTAAAAAGAGAAGGTGGACGTTCAAGAATCATTATAGACGTGGCAAACTAATGCTTACATACAATTGGAAACCTAATAATGCTAAATAGTGCAGCTATGTTTAAAGATTAGAAAAAAGTTATATTATAGAAGATATGTACAATTATAGAGTAGTCTGATGAGCAATTAATTTGAATAAGATTATTCAATGAGCCTTCAAATGCTATTACTCACACTCTGCTCATAGAGAAGCAACTATATATTGACAAAGGCTTAGCCAGTATCAGTCTCTAAATGATTCACCAAAGCTAATAAATGCCAAAAACAAAAACCTAATTTAGATTCACTGGTACTATAAGATTATTGTAGAGATTTTATGGTGCAGGATAACTCTGAGGGAGATCGAGATATAGTTTTGCTGATAGCTTTTTGAGCCCCGATTGAGAATGCAGTCCGTTTGGAAATAAGTGTCTCATAGCAAGAACAACATCTTTCACTCGTAGAGATTTGTTGCAAAAAGCATTATTAACGGAAAGTTCAGTGTAAATTTCTGCTTGAAGAGGTCAGCAGTGTAAATTAGAAAGTGCTTCGAAAAATCAAGTGTATCAAACACTTATAAATAGGTGCTTTAGATAAAATAAAAAAAAAATTAATTATCAAAAACGGAGAGATCCGATTTTAGTTGATGAGCAAGACTTTTAGTAGGACATAGAACACCACTATCTCCACATAAAAAAGGACATGTAATACAAACATATCCACAATGACAACACTATGTTATTAGAGTCTCAGACGGAGTTTTATTACACAACAGAACACTGAATATTGATACCAAACGTCATAAAGCTGGCGATCTGCATAGACTCAACGCAGACTGTTTATTTGATACCCAGACATACTATATTACTGAATATAAACAACAAAACCTTATAATACTACTAGACTCATAAACCAATAAGAAAAGCATGGCTGGATCTATACCAGCTATAGTATTGCATACTAAAACGGAGAATAAACAAATTTCTCATTAATATATCTTCTCCATTTCCTCATCCTCGCTCTCGCTCCAACTGCAATGGAAGATTGACCTAGGGGATCCACAGCTACCATTGCTACTGAATGTGAGGTACGTAAGTGATCCTCCCTCACCAAGCACTTCAGTAGTCTTTTCTCCAGAGGCGTATCCGATAATGTCCAGGCCGGACTCAGTATAAAGTTCCTTCCCAGGAGTGTCACAGTGTAGTGATACAGAAAACTCAGCAGGTCCGAAGCAGGACAACACCCTCTCGATCATGGCAGTCAAGTTTACGTCTTTGAAATCATAACCCACTGCTTCAAAACTTGCATAGCTGAATCCATCCTCAGGTGTGACATGAATTGTAGAGATTGCTGGCCCCTCGATAGCATTCATTGAGTAACCGCAGGGATCAAAGTCAAAGTCGCATATGTTTGATTCTGGAAGGATCTTCCGAATGCCTGAAACTTCAGTCATCTCAGCAGCAGTGCTTGAGTGAGTCTTGAAAAATACGGATGCCTTCTTCTTGTCCAGATTAGTCATGCACATCTCCAGTGTATAAACTGGATTCGGGTTATTGGCATTGGCAGATTCAACTGAAGCAGAATAGACATGCCAGTTCTGTTGTTTATCAGCATTACCCATCACATATGCACTGCTGCCTGCACCAAGCTTACCGAAATAGCTGTCAAGCACGGCTACTTCTTCAGAGAAGTGACGATGTGGATATGGCTGAGCCCCAGGGAAGATGAAACTACCACGAGTGTACCTCACTGACTTCACTTTCAGGTTAAGTGCATCAGCTAACTTAAGAATGGGTGGGATTGACAGCAGCAGTTTTGTAGTGCCACAAGTTTTGATGATGATCTTGTATGAGTAGACAAAGAGGCTAGACTCCGAAAGGACATAAGAGTCGACTTCATCATTTGCCAATGAAGACACTATGGTGCATGCAGCCGGTGTCAGAATTTCATCCAATTGGTCTTTGGAGAGAGACTGTAGGCCACATCCCGGGCCATCAGACATTCCTAACTCAAAAAAGGTAATCTCAAGTCGCTTTTCGTATCCTTCAAATCCGATGGCAGAAACTGGCACGGCCATCTTGCTTGAAAGAGAGTGCTTGGGAAGGAGAACTTTTTGGAAGAGATTATCACGAGGATGAGGTATGAAGAAAAAGAGTTGAGAAGAACAGAATTCTAAAATTAAACTACTATCTACTTGAACCACCTTTGGTGGTTTATTCTAGATCACGGGTAATCTCAGGATGGCTTGCGAGTGCACTGCATACAAAAAAGACAGAGATAAGCAAACAGTTAGCATGTATACACAAAGATATAAACAACTTAGATACATAAGGAGAAGGCTAAGTTGACTCACGTTGGAGTAAGCAGCGGATCTGAATTTCTTGATTCCTCCGTTTGGTCGAACGTCTTCAATAGTGTAACCAAGGGGAGCTTCGTAACATAAGGAACTACTACTAGACTTCTTCTTCCCACCTTTAGAGTCCATTAGTTCATCGATTCCTACCTGCTCACAGCATTGAAAAGAAATAAGATGGTCAGGGAAAAATAAAAAAGTTTGGCCTTGATAATTTTATGGAAAACTATGCGCAATTAGCAAATACATTAAGCAACTATGAATGAAAACAATAAGAAATTTGGCTTTGATAATTGTAAACGGTATGTCCTTTTATAACCTTTGGTTCAAACCAGAAAATGGTTGTTACTGTATACTAGTAGTTCATCTATTCATCGAGTTGCAAGTCTTCTAAAATTAGTTAATTTGTTCATATGATTGTAATCGGTTCCATAACTAATTACTTATTTTTCATATATATCTTTTATCTATGCTTAGCCAATTATTTCCTTCAGAAAAACAGAAGTTCAAAAACACAAATAAAAAGACAGATAACTGCAGGCAATTGAAAGACATATAATTCAAGAAGAAAACAAATCATGATAGTCTAACTTTACTTTATGTTTAATTAAAATATTCGAAATATTCTCCAAACAACAAGTCCACTTTGTCATTAAACATCGAAATACACTAAATTACCACCCTTACATAGAATAAATCCATAACTAACAAAAAAAGTTTTTATTTATCCAAAAAAAAAAAAAATTAAATAGGTTTAACCAGCACCTAAAGGTATAACCGGTTTTATTCTGTCAATTTCTTCCATGCAATTTCACTAATAAGAAATTAAAGTCTAACAATGTTTAAGAGCTTTGATATCTTTTCTTCAAAAGACAACCAAACACTAATTTTTCAAAGAAAAACCTAAACAGTAATAAAAGGGCTATCCTAACATCAAAAGAAAAACCAAACTGTTAAAGGGCCCTCTGATGTGGTCGAACAGCCCATAGAAAAATTATAAAAATTGTACAAACAAGGTGCTATTCGCCGCAAAATAAGGGGAAAAAATTAGAACTTTAATCACAACAACGCCAAGCATTATCAAAATCAAGAGCGACAAAGAGCAAAATCATAAAGGAAAACAGATAGATATAAAGTAACGGAAATTAAACTTACAAAAATTGGTGAAATAAGCAGATGTAGAATCGCAGTGCGACCTCCTTCACTGTTCTTTAACAGAAGAAAAGATTGTTGGAAAAAAAAATTTGAATTTGTGAATTAAAGAATATTAAGGAGCAAAATAAGGGATGGGAAGAGAGAATTGGGTTTGTTTTGTTGAGACTCGGCGAAGCACATAATATTATGGAGACGTGAGTACCCTATTTATATACGCAGTTGAGGACTTGGGCTAAGGAACCGCGTTTAATGAGAAATTGACACGTGGATTTTGTGAAATTCGTGACCTCTCATTTTTGCCCCGAAAATAGTGTGACCAAGGGATATTTCGTGTGGTCATAAGCGTCGCGACAACGCATCTCTCGTACAAAAAACAGCTGTAGTTTCCTTGTCTCGTTCAAACTCTACCACTCCCTTCCAAATACTTTGATTTATATTTCTTTTTTTTTTTCTCATTCTTTTGGAATGTTGTGGGTTGTTGTGGAAGGGGAAAGTAAACCTATTAATTCACGTGAAACTATATTGAAAAAAAAAATTGCGCTTTTCCAGTCCCTGAATTTATGATTTTTGGAATATATGATTGAACACAATTAATTTTTAACTACTTTTGATTTTTTTTTCTAATGAAGGTTTATAATTTAAAAAATTATTAATTGTTACCAGTTGATTACACATTGGCATGTTAAATTTGTTTTGTTATTCATATTTGATAATAACATAGTTCTAAACATGATCAAACTAAAGCATCTTTTTATTTAGAGGGATTAAAACCGTACAATCTAATTAAATTCAAAATTAAATATGCTACGAAAATAACAGATGAAGCAACATTAGTATTTGCTAATGACTGAAGGATCAAAAGTAAACTTAACCAAAAGAATAGGAATAGGAAAATAATAATTGGGGGGTAAAATGGTAAAAATATGAATATAAGTAGTTTGGTCAAACTCGACTTCCAAGTGTATTAGGTTTATACTCTTTTCAACTGAGCGTGTTTGGACCTTTTGAAAATTCTGTAAGGGCTTCTCCTAAATGACCATTTTTTGCCAGAATGTTCTGTTTGAGCTTAATCAGTCTAATAATAATCGTTATTCTATTTCGAGTTACTTTTTACCTACGTGTAGGTTTAAGGTTCGTCATAAGCACAGACTCAGCAAATAATGGGAGTTTAAAGAGATTATTCTATCAGTCCTTAATTTTACAAGAGAATGAAAAAGTGATCCAAAGCCTAGTGAATAGTGATTTTTAGTTGAGACTTGACAGAGGAATATATCGCGAAGAAGCTGACGAAGAAATAAAATTGAAAACAAGATAATAACGAATCTAGCGATGTGTATATATATTTGGGTTGGTTCGAATTTTTCAGTTACCAAACCAAATTAATAGTATCGGATTTTTAAATCTAGAAACCAAACCAACAAAGTCGGGTTTTTCAATCTCGTTTTTTCTCGGATTTTTTCGGGTTATTCCCCCGTAAAGTTAATGGTAAACAATTTTTATAGCCCATAAATGTAGTAACTCAAACAAAGTTCCCATTAATATTGTTACACGACGCCTTCCTGAGATTCCTTGGAAGGGCGACGTAAGGCTAAGAAACTGATGTCAGTGCAGTTACTATCCGCCAATTGAGGTCCCCTCCGTACACTAGACGAGATTGTCAGTGCCGTACGGGAAAACCAATGTCAAGAGCAATTGAGAGAACATAAATGAGAATTGAGAATGAAAAAAGCTTGATTGCATTAATAAAAGCTATTACAAAAAAGCAACATGGTGTCGAGGGGGAGAGATACTAGTATAGAGAATTGTTTGCTTGCTAGAAAGTTTGATTGCTTGATCCCCTAATAGTGCTTAAAAAATGAACCAAAGTTACAAGACTAGACCTAACTAAGCTAGAGAAACAAAATGGAAGTACATGAAATAAAACTACTATATATTTACAATGAAAAAGACTTAGTTTTTTACAAGGTAGAAACAGGTCCGTTGTCAGCAACCTTGTCTTTGGCATCACGGTCTGCGCATGCGGCGTTGTCTGCGCGCGTGGCACTGTTTGCATCTGCTTGCGACTGGGTATTGGCGAAGGAATTCGGTGGGGCGACAGAGGCACATGCGTGTTTGTCACTTGGCGCAGCCAAGACCACGAGGCTGTTTGTGGCGCTAAGCATTGGGAGGCTTGCTAGGACGCCACGGGGCGCATTCAAGGGGTCATGGGACATAGCTAGAAAGCCGCCCATGACATTCTTCCCAACCAGAGTTTGCGACGTCCTCGGCGCCTTACTTACAAGATAATCATCAATTAGGCTCTTGTAGGCTTTGAGGTTTGTTCCCCTCTCCCAAGTATTCTCCTCTGCATCACAGCCTACCATTTTACTAAGAACTCTTAGTGATCTTTCCTTGATGTATGAATCACTCGATCATCAAGAATAGCTTTAGCATGCCTTTTTCCCGTTGAATTGGGGCCTCGAATACTTGGTATTGTGAGTTGGCTCCGTGAAGGATCCTCCATGTATTCCCGGAAATGTTTCAAAAGACTGACATGAAAGGTGGGATAGATTTTCCACCAAACTGGGGTATCCACACGGTATGCAACTTTCCTAATGCGCCTTCCAATGGACAAAAGTCCAATGTATTTTCGTAATAGGCGAGGGTCATGGACCCTTGCAAACAAGTATCGCTTTGGAATTTTGACCATCACTTTATCTCCTACTTAGTATTCAACAAGGCGACGATTTTGATTAGCATGCCTCTTCATTCGCTTTTGGGCTTTGACAAGATAGCTACGCACTATTTCCAAATTTTGCTTCCATTTTTTAAGAAGCTAGCAGCTCGAGGAGATTTTGACATATTTGGTGCATTCACGATGTGTGGGAGTAACGGTTGTTGTCCGGTAACAATTTCAAAAGCGTTTTTGTTTGTACTAGAGCTTGTTTGTGAATTGAAACATAGTTGAGCAGCATCCAGAAGCTTCACCCAGTTCTTCTACGATCCGATTACAAATGGCGGACCCAATGCGCCTTTCAATGGACAAAGGTCCAATGTATTTTTGTAATAGGCGAGGGTCATGGACCCCTGTAAACAAGTATCGCTTTGGAATTTTGACCATCACTTTGTCTCCTACTTGGTATTCAACAAAGCGACGATTTTGATCAACATGCCTCTTCATCCGCTTTTAGGATTTGACAAGATAGCTCTGCACTATCTCCAAATTTTGCTTCCATTCTTTTGAGAAGTTAGCAACATGAGGAGATTTTGACATATTTGGTGCATTCACGGTGTGTGGGAGTAGCTATTGTTGTCCGGTAACAATTTCAGAAATGCTTTTGTTTGTACTAGAGCTCTTTTGTGAATTGAAACACAGTTGAGCAACATCCAGAAGCTTCACCCAGTTCTTCTGCGATCCGATTACAAAGTGGCAGATATATTCCTCCAGCATGCCATTGAACCACTCCGTATGGCTATCAAATTGCGGATAAAAACTTGAGCTGTGACTCAGTTTTGACCCAAGACACTTAAAGAGTTGGGTCCAAAAGTTGCTAGTGAAGCGTGAGTCGCGATCACTAACAATGTCTTTAGGAAGGCCCCAATATTTGATGACATGAGAGAAGAAGAGCCGAGTTGTATCCTCTGCTGAGATGTATTGTGGAGCTGCTATAAAGGTAGCATACTTGGACAACGATCCACCACAACCAAGATAATTGTGAGATCTCCGACCTTGGGCAGTTCGGTGATGAAATCTAGGGAAACACTTTCCCTAGGTCTCTTTGAGACAGCTAGTGGTTCCAAGAGTCCCTCTTGTGTCAAGCGGTCCGACTTGTCCTTCTGGCATACTAGACAAGTCTTCACATACTGAGTGACGTCATCGGCCATTTGAGGCCAATAATATGCACGGCGAAGTAATGCCATGGTGCAGGTCTTCACCGGTATGGCCGACCCACAAAGTATCATGACATTCCTCTAGAAGAGTCTTTCGCATATCTCCTCCTTTAGGAACATAAAGTCGGTTCCCTTTAACTTTCAGGAAACCACCTTCCATGTAGAACTGGCAAAACTTGCCCTTCCTACAAAATCAACAAAATACTGTGTAGCAGGATCTTTGATGAGTAGATCCTGTATCTGGTCTTTGATGGTGGTGGCTACTACGCCCCTCCTTAGGGTGGCGAGTAGGCACACCGATGCTAGATCATCTCTCCGACTGAGCGCATCAACAACATGATTGGTCTTCCTACTTTGGTATTCCAGGTTGAAGTGGAATTCCTCTAGGAGTTCCTGCCACCTGGCCTGTCGACCATTCAGCTTCGACTAGGTCATGAAATAGCTAACAACTGTGTTGCCTGTCTTGACCACGAACTGGGTTCCCAGCAGATAGTGCCTTCAAAGGCGTAAGCAATGGACGACAGCCAATAATTCTTTCTCGTGGGCAGCATAGCGCCGTTCTTCATCCTTCAGCTTCTGGATCTCGTATGATACATGATGTCCCTCTTATAGCAAGACTCTGCCAAGGGCATAGTCGGAGGTATCTGTTTGTACCTCGAATGGCTTGGCCAAATCAGGGAGGGCCAAGACGGGGCAACTAGACATAGCCACTTTCAATGCATTAAAGGCCTCCGCTTGCCTGGGTCCCCAATTATAAGGCATGACCTTCTTGAGGAGTTCTGTCAATGGTACTTCGATGAGGGAGTAATTTTTCACAAATCGCCTATAGAAGTTGCATAGGCCAAGGAACGCTCTCAAGGTGTGGATATCCTTAGGCGGCGGCCAATTTGTTATAGCCTGAATCTTTTGTTGGTCCATCTTGATCCGCCTGTCCTCAATGACATGTCCGAGGAAGTCAATCTATTTTTGAGCAAAGGAGCACTTGGACAGCTTCACATATAGTTCGTGCTCCTGTAATCGGGCCAGGACCTTCTGCAAGTGCTCCAGGTGTTCTTCAAGTGTTTTGCTATATACCACAATGTCATCCAAGTAGACCACCATGAATTTATCAATGTAATCTCGGAAGACTTGGTTCATCGGGGTGAAAAATGTGGTTGGAGCATTAGTTAAGCCGAACAACATAACTAGGAAGTCATACGACGCACATCTTGTCACACAGGTCGTCTTGTGCTCATCAACCTCTGCAATCCGAACTTGCTA